GTCTAAAACACTGCTGTCTGAGACGTGCATTTGTTTGTTCTATTTGTGGAGGTAAAATATGAGCCCCCTTAATTGTTCTTTACTTGATAGTCCTAATTATTTTGGTTGTCCCTAGATTTTTCTCCTTTAAGTACCTTAGGATAGTCTAGAACTGCCTAAATTAGAGGTCCTAAATACCCCAAGGGCCACAAGGAAGGGACGGGTAATGCACGCATAGGATACATATTAAGGTTGAAAGAATGCTTTAGGCTATGACCAAGGGGAGGGGAATTGGGTAGTAAAGGATATGATGATTTGTGCGCCAATGCCACATGTAACCCCTCTAATTGAGAAAGGCTTACCAGGTATTGTATAGATGTGATCCTGTAAGCTAACAAACTTAGGACTTCCCTCACCTTATTTACATATGTGTGCTTAGATTGCCTATCTGTTAAACTTCCTTTATTTGCATATGTGTGCTTAGACTGCCTATATGTTAAATGACTAATTCACATAATTGAATTCGGTCGGGACCCACCGTTGTGGACCGCAAGGGGTGCTTAACACTTTCCCCTCAAGGTTATTTCGAGCCCTTACCCCAATCTCTGGTAATGCAAACCGATTTTCATGAGTTATTTGCTCTAGGTGCCCTAACACACCATAAATTCGTTAGGTGGCAACTCTTCAAATTCAAATATCCAACTCTCAAAAGGAAATGAGTTGTTCCCTATGAATGTCGAAACCTGAACTCGGCGAGGAAAAAGAGGGCGTGACAGGGAGGTCAAGTGTTGGAGAAAAGCTTCGATACGATATATGCATTATTGAACAAATTCTCCAAAAGCAATCCTGATTGGCAAGGAGAGATGGGCAGACAAACTGTGCAAAAATATGCAGGGGTTCTAGAGTTAGATGTCGTCTCTGCATTATCAACGTAGATTGCCACATTGGCCAACCAAGTCAATCAGATGACCTTGGTTATTAACAAGCAACAAACCCAGCCAGTGCAACAGGTTCAAATATTTTGTGAAGTATGTGGAGAGGGTCACACGAGTGACCTATGCCCAGAAAATCCAAAGTCTGTCTGTTTTGTGGGTAATACAAATAGGGGTCAGACAAACCAGTATGGGAACACTTACAATCCTAATTGGAGAAACCACCTAAACTTCTCTTGCTGTGGAAACCAAGGTGCTTAAAATCACTACAGGCCACAAACACCTCAATAGCAATATAGACCACCTCAGGCTGAACAACCTACAAACCTAATGAGTCACGTTGAGGAGATGATGAAGAAATTAATGGCTGACCAACAAGCTCAAGCAATAATGATTCAAAATTTAGAGCAACAAATGGGGCAACTTGCCAGTGCCCAAAATACTCGACCAGTTGGAGCTCTTCCACATAACACTGAGGCTAATCCTAAGGCATATATTAATGTTTTGTCATTTAGGAATGGGAGACAAATAGAAGAAGTCCAGTCGAAAAAGAGAAAGCAAGTGACCTTTCATCAGAAACTGGCCACCATAGAAGCAGAATCAGAAAAATCAAAGGAGTTAGAGAAACAAGCTAAAGAGGTGGTAGCTAAGCAACCCCCATCATTAGTTGTGAGGCCACCACCTCCATTCCCTCAGAGATTGCAGAAAGTAAAGGATAATGCCGCTTATAAAAAGTTTCTTGATATTTTGAAGCAGGTGCAAATCAATATTCTACATGTAGACATCCTGCAATAAGTGCCCAAATACACCAAATACATCAAGGACATAGTGGAAAATAAGAGGAGGTTAACAGAGTTCGAGACTATGGCACTCATTGAAGAATGTAGCTCAAGGATTCAAAGCAAGCTACCTCATAAATTGAAGGATCCATATGGTTTCACTATCCAAATCTCGATTGGTAAGCACACAGTCGGGCGAACTTTGTGTGATCTTAGAGCGAGCATCAATTTGATGTTGTTATCTGTGTTCAGACAATTGGGGTTGGGTGAGTCGCGCCCAACTATGGTGATTTTGCAGTTGGCTAATCACTCTCTTGCTCATCCTAAAGGTGTAATTGAAGATGTGTTAGTTCAAGTGAGTTCTTTCATATTCCCTACTGATTTTATTATCTTGGACTATGAGCCTGATCAGGAAGTCCCATTTATTTTGGGGCACCCATTCCTAGCCACGAGCTGAGTTATGATTGATGTATATGAAGGAAATATGACGATGAGAGTGGGTGACCAAGTGGAGGTATTCAATATGTATAAAGCACTCAGATTTCCAGTCCACTATGAAGAGTTATCCATGATTTCTGTGGTGAAAAGTGATGTGACGTCATTGGTGCCATATATAAGCCTCATAGATCCTCTTGAACGAGCTTTGATTGGGTATGAAGAAGACAGTGAAGATGAGAGGATGGGAGAAATTGAGCAAGTGTTTGACATGTCTTGCAGGTATGTCCATGGGTTTGGGAGATTTAAGGAGTTGGACTGGCTTGTCACCCTGACCCCTCCTAAGCCATCTATTGAAGAAGCTCCAAAGATAGAGCTTAAGCTCCTTTCAGCGGATATGAACTATGCTTATTTGGGGAACTCTAAGACATTTCCAGTGATATCTTATCCATCTTGACCGATGTGCAAGAAGAAAAATTGCTCAGAGTACTTTGCCAGTATAATAAGGCTATTGGGTGGACAATTGCTGACATCAAAGGAATTAGTCCATCATTTTGCATGCATAAAATCTTTTTGGAAGATGGACACCACCCCAGTGTTGAGCAACAAAGGAGATTAAATCCCATTATGAAAGAGGTCGTGAAGAAGGAAGTAATTAAGTGGCTCAATGCAGGCATCATCTTTCCTATCTCTGACAGCAACTGGGTAAGCCCAGTGCAATGTATGCCCAAAAATAGGAGATGATTGTGGTAGAGAATGAGAAAAATGAGCTTATTCCCACTCGCACCGTGACGGGGTGGAGAGTTTGTATTAACTACAGAAGGCTCAATAAAGCAACCTACTAGGACCACTTCCCACTTTCATTCATTGACCACATGTTGTATAGATTGGCGGGTCATGAATATTATTGCTTCCTTGATGGTTATTCGGGGTACAACCAGATTGTCATATGCCTAGAGGATCAAGAGAAGATCACTTTTACTTGTCGTTATGGTACTTTTGCTTTCAAGCGAATGCCATTTGGTCTTTGTAATGCACCGGCCACGTTCTAGAGGTGCATGATGGCTATTTTTATTGATCTGGTGGAAAAATTTGTGGAAGTCTTTATGGATGATTTTTCAGTCTTTGGGTTTTCTTATGATGACTGTTTGAAGAATTTAGGCAAGGTATTGGCCCGCTGTGAAGAAACAAATCTAGTGTTAAATTGGAAAAGGTGCCATTTTATAATGTAAGAAGGTATCGTGTTGGGCCACAGAGTTTCAAGTAGTGGCATTGAAGTTGATAAGGGGAAGGGAGAGGCGGTTGAAAATTTACCTCCACCCATTTCTGTAAAGGGTGTCTGGAGCTTCTTGGGACATGCGGGATTCTATAGACGCTTTGTTAAGGATTTTTCAAAAATTGCTACTCTTTTGTGCAGGTTACTTGAAAAGGATATAACCTTCAATTTTGATGAAGCCTGTTTGAAGGCATTTGAAGAGCTCAAAAAGAAGTTGGTGGTGGCCCCCATTATTGCGGCACCAGATTGGTCCTTACCATTTGAACTTATGTGCGATGCAAGTGACCATGCTATTGAGGTAGTGCTAAGCCAGAGAAAGGACAAGTTGTTTTACTCCATCTACTATGCGAGTAAGACTTTTAATGATGCACAACTGAATTACACCACCACTGAAAAAGAGTTGTTGGCCGTTGTGTGGGCCTTTGAGAAATTTTGGGCATACTTGGTGGGAACAAAAGTCATAGTCCATACCAATCATGCAGCAATTAAGTATCTATTTATAAAAAAAGAATCCAAGGCTAGATTGATGCATTGGGTTTTGTTGTTGCAGGAATTTGATGTAGAAATACGAGATCGGAGAGGCACAGAAAACCAAGTAGTAACCATCTATCAAGGTTGGAAAATCATGAGCATGTTGAGGAGGGTGGACAAATTAAGGAGGCATTCCCTGATGAGCAACTTCTTGCTATCACCCAAGACCCCCCCTCTCCCTGGTATGCGGACTATGTGAATTATCTTGTGAGTGGGGCACTTCCTTCTAAAATTGGATCTGAAGCTAGAAAGAGGTTTCTATATGATGTAAACTTCTACTACTGGGATGAGCCATTCTTATACAAACAATGTGTTGATCAGTTGATGAGGAGGTGTAATTAGTGTTGTATGATTGCCAGGCATTGCCTTATGGGGTCCATCATGTAGGCGATAGGACAACTGCAAAGGTATTACAGTCTAGGTTCTTTTGGACAACATTATTCAAGGATGCCCATGAATTTATTAAGAAGTGTGACCAGTGTCAAAGAACGGGAACAATCACAAAGAGGCACAAGATGCTGCTAAATAACATCTTGGAGGTCGAGATTTTTGATGTGTGGGGGATAGATTTTATGGGACCGTTCCTATTGTCTAGAGGAAACAAATACATCTTGCTAGCAGTTGACTACGTGCCAAAATGGGTAGAGGCGATCGCATTGCCAACCAATGATGCCAAGATCGTAGCTGCTTTTGTGAAGAAGAACATATTTTCGAGGTTTGGGACTCCACACGCTTTGATTAGTGATGAAGGGACACATTTTTACAATCGGTTGTTGAATAACCTTCTAGCTAAATACGGGGTCCTCCATAGAGTTGCCACGGCATATGATCCGCAAACAAGTGGGCAAGCTGAGGTGTACAACAGAGAAATGAAGCAAATATTAGAGAAGACATTGAGTATGAATAAGAAGGATTTGGGCTGCAAAGTTAAATGATGCCTTGTGGGCCTATAGAACTGCATACAAAACACCAATTGGGGCGTCTCTGTATAAGCTTGTGCATGGGAAGTCATGTCACTTTCATGTTGAACTTGAACACAATGTGTACTGGGCCATTAAAAAGTTGAATATGGACTTTGAAGTCGGGACCGAGAAGAGACTCTTGCAGTTGAAAGAGTTAGATGAGTTCAGGCTGCACTATTATGAAAATGCTAAGCTTTACAAAGAGAAAACGAAAGATGGCATGACAAGCGTATCGAGCCACGTCACTTCGAACCAGGCCAACAGGTACTATTGTTCAATTCTAGGCTCAAGTTGTTTCCTGGGAAGCTAAAATCAAGATGGTCAGGCCATTTGAGGTGGTAAGAGTCACTCCTTATGGTGCAATTGAGTTGCACACTTTAGATGGTGAAAGAAAATTTTTAGTGAATGGACACAGAGTCAAGCACTATTGGGGAGGAATCACTGATCGTGAGAAGACCAAAGTAATACTCGTTGATGAGTAAGAAAGGACCTGTGTTATGCCACGATGTTAAATCAGGCGCTTGTTGGGAGGCCACCCAATTTTTATTGCCTTTATAGTTTAGTTTTTAAATATTTAGTTAGAGTATACTAGAGTTTTTATATTCTTTGTAAACATAGAAATTATAGGTAGAATGGTGTGGGGTATGTAAATTGGATATATAAAGTGCTCGAGGGATCTAGATGTTATTAAATGTTTTTTTAGAAAAGATCATTGAACCAGCGCCCCACGCTACTTGGGGTGCAATTTACAGTATCTCCAATACCCCCTGCGCCAGGCCTAGCATGGGACGCTGGGTTGGGGGTGCAGGTAAGTAAAAATGTTTTTTTTCTTCGTTTTTGTTTTATTAGGTTAAAATCTATACACATAAAATCCGACCCATATACCCATCTATCTGTCACGCCCCAAAACTGAGGGGCGCGACTGGCGCTCAATCGAGCAAGCCTATTAGGTTTCATTCTACCCAAAATTATTTTATGAATAATAAGGAGATGAACTCCATAAATTCTACTTTATGAGCATTACATTGACAATTTTTATCTTTGTCTTTCATTAACAGTTCAACTATACTAACCAAATTATTACAATTAATATATACGAAGGAAATATTCTGCCAAATAACAGCATATCTAGTTCAAATTTTCAATACCTGAAACCACCCACAACCTGTCTACGGAGCCTCTAAATACAACTGAAGAGTAATATAGAAATGTCGGCAATAAGGCTCCGGCTATACCTCAAAATACAAATACTACATCAATCAAATTCCGGACTTACAATTTTACATGGACACCATGAGAGCTCAATTTCTAAGAAGAGGGGTTTTTAGCCATACACACCTTGTTTAAGCTTTCCTTAAGTTTCTGCAATCTACCAACACCTCTAGCAATAACAATCTATAAGGAGACAGCGAGAATCGATTAATAATTAGGAAGATTACCCATGGTGTAACTCTCTTAGGAATTTCATCAAACACCTAACATGTGAAGTAGTCTACAAGGTCTGAAAATCGAAATTCCTTCTTCCCTCAGCCAATTTTAACAGGAACTACCCAAATTAGTTCTTTAATATCACATACTACAACTTAGTCCCACATGCATGGCTTATTTCTAATCCCAACAATATATTTGAACCCTTAACCTCTTGCATGAAATCTTGGAAGAAGGACTTACTCGGATGGAGGACAATCAAGTGGTTATCTTCCTTGATTCTTGAAAACTTGAGCAAGATTTGGGTGATTATGAATCTAGGCTCCTTCTTTCTCTCTCTATGTGCTCTCAACTATCTCTAAAATCAGTAGAAAAATGACCCCAAATGAAGCCCCTAAGCCTATTTATCAAAATGGGGTCGGGTTATAAAAATAGAAAAAATAAGCCTCTGAAATCGGGTCTGCGATCACATTTTGGGCCGCAAAACAAGAATGTGGGTCGCAAAATGCATCGCGGAGCTGGTGCCCAGAAATGGGCTACACTCGACAGGTCTGCGACCATTTTGTGGTCGCATAACCACTTCTGCTATCGCAGAATTGGCCGCAGAATGGGATTTTGCCAGCTTTTGGTAATTTGGTCATAACTTTGTGTAGGAATGTCCAAATACAAACGGTTTGGAAATTAGACTCAAACATCTTTCATATGATAGGTTGTTCATCACATAAAACCTTATATATATATNGATTTAGACTTAGGCCTTTCCTTGGACCCCAAATTACTTATTATATGACTTATACATTTATTTATCAAATCCAATTTATGTCCATCATGCTAATAGCACATAAAATATTATAATTAGCCTACCTCGCACCACGAAATCCTAAATTACTTAGCGAAATTTTCCGAGGCCTTACACTATCCTAACATTTTAATCCACATTTGAATCCATACCCATACCCGTATTAAATTAAAAACAAAACTCAAACCCCTTTAATTCTAATTTCTCTCTGTCTCTCTCTCTCTCATTGTCACTCTCTCTCAAACTCCTCTCTACCACGTTCTTCTTTCTTTCAAAAGATTTCAAGGTTTTCTCTTGATCTCATCCTAAACCCTACATATATGTTCCTCTTCTTCTTCTTTTTCTTTTAATTGATAGATGATAATAAACATCCCCCCCAAATGCCCTAATCCCCAAAATTTTCCCCTAAGTTGCTTCTTAGAACTTGTTCTATGGTGGGTGGCCTAAATGTGAAACGAAATTGGTTGTGACAACTTTGTTGTTGTATTGTATACGGAGTAGTAAACTATAATTTCCTCTACTTCGTTGAAATTTTGGAGGGCCACCATGTTCCACCATTGTTAAACTAAGTTGCACACATTTCATGCCCACAAGGTGTTTGATAAGATGTTTGAATGAGTATTTTGTGCACCGGTGAAGTCTGAGTAACCGAGTGTAGTTGTATGTGATATCAGGCTAAGTGTTGGATGTTTGGGGTGATTTCACATAATTAGGAGCTTGGTTTTAATGTGCACATGTCGCCCACACCATGTATCTTATATTATGTATGTTGTAGCACTTGTAGAATTAGTTAAGGTAGTGTAGTAATTGTAGAAATTAAGGACCATATGCCACTTGCTTGCATTAAGGCTAAATCACTTTGCCATGATCGACCACTTGATTTGTGTGGCATAGCTCGTGAGCTATAATTTTGCGGCGTGGGGAAGTCTTGAGTATCCATTGCCTTGTGGTGAAACACTTGTGCATTTTAAACCACGATTGTGAGTATAGTACATTGAGCCTTCGATTTTTAAGTGTGGGGTCATCTTTGACTCGCACGATAACCTTAGGCAGATTTCTTGATTCTTTCTTACATTCATGCTTATTTGTGTTGTAGGTTTCTATGGCTCGTGATAATGCAAATAAAGGCAAGGGAGTAAGGAAGTCCTCCACTACTACGAAAGGGAAATAAGTTGTCGATGGATCAATGACGGCTCCATTGAGACCAAGGACCCGTTTGGATCTAGTTCGTGATGATGCCATCCAATGGCATAATACCTTTGTGTCGTATGGGCACTATATCTCCGAGATGGTCATTAATGTGAAAGCTTTGGAAAAGAACTTCCCGTACGTGCTTGGACGGTTGCGAGAATTGCCCATGGAAAAAATCCTAGAATGCCCCGACCATGCAAATTTGAGCATGGTGTGGGAACTGTATGCCAATTGGAATGCGGACTTGTTCATGTCATATGTACGTGGAAAGGACGTGCCACTAGACAGATGGTCCTTATGTGAATTTTTAGGAGTTGAGAACTCTAACCCTCGGAGGCTACAAAAATTTGTCAAAAGCCCAAGCTACATGGTGTGAGCACGTGATTTTTGTCCTACGAGAACTACTCCCAGAAAATTCAAAATAAAATAGTTTTGTGTTGTTTGTGATTTATTTGTATTTGTCTGTGCATGATTATTTTTACTTTAATTAAGGGAAAAAATACAAAAATAATAAAAAATAATAATAAATATATATGCATTTAGGATTTAACTTTACAAGTATGAATTATTAAACAATATTTGAATTTATAAGAATGAAAATCACAAAAAATATGTACTTTGCATTTTTAATNATTGATATCAGCTGATCAACGGTCCAGATCAACTCCTCCGTGACCCGACCCATTCCCATCCAAGACTGATCCGGTCTCAAGGGTAAACGAAGCAACGTCGTTTCCGTTTATGAATGGATCCAAGCCATTGATCTCATTAGATCGAATGACTTGGATTCATCCCACCCTTTCATATATATACTTCAAACCATACCCCACCCCCCAAATCAAACCCCACCCTCACTCATCTCTAATAGCTCAGAGACGAGCTCATCTCTCACCGCCTAACTTCGCCGCCCTCCGCCCGCCGGAAATCACCCACAGCGGCGGACGGTGGCCAAACAACCCCAGCTTCACACCATAGAACCCCCTCACCCTCCTCTTTCCGAATCCCCACTCCATCGCCTTCGAATCATCCCCGAGTTCTTTGAATATTAGATCGAAGAATTTACCCCTAAATCTAGTTCACCCAAACGCCTCCAGCTTCACACCACAGCTCCGCCCTGACCTCTTCTCTCCAAATCTACCCTCCTCTTCCTTCGAATCTAGTCCCAGTCACTCGAATATCGATTTTGATCCAAGAACCCTAGCGCTGCCACAAGATCCCCTAGTGGCGGTGCCAAACCTAAGCTGTCCCAAACCTACACCCATTGGCCACTAGACCCCCCTCGTCCCAAATCCCATGTTAGTCTTGCTCAAATCAAGACGGAACTGGACGAATCCTAAATCGACTGAACGAGCTCTAGAAGAACAAAACCTAGGAATCGATCCAAAAGAAAATTGAGGTCGTGGCCGATCTTAGTCGTGTGTTCTCAGTCGAGAACACTCGATTAAGGTCCGTTTCGGCTTCAAACCTCAAGTCGAAGTTTCGATTGGAACGGATTGTATTTTAGCCTGTAGTTTATGAGGTATTCCTTATCTTTTCTCTTATTTTTCTTGTTGTTGATATTTTTTTTATCTGATTAAGTTCCGTTTTAGTTCATCACTTCTGTCAATTAATTCTCCTCCTCTTTCGGACCTTTTTTTGGTCCAGTTTTTCTCATTTTGGTCGATCGGCATATGTTGAATCAATTAAATGGTCTCGTCGATTGACCCATTCATGTATATAGTTTAGTAGTTCTCGTCAAGTTGTTTGGTGTCATTTGTTTTGTTCTCAGCCTCAGGGTTCCATTCAGTATATCCTCAGGGTCCCTACATTTTGTGTTTAAGGCTAATTTAGAACTATGAGTGTGCTGTTATTATTGGTTTGAATTGCTTCATTTTATGTGATGTTTGGTTCCCTTTTCTTTGTTGTTCATCATTTTGCATATGAGTTCAGTTTGTTTGTCGATTCAGTACATTTACAGTGATCATTCATTTTACCTAAGTTTGATTTAGATATGTGAATATAGTTAGTCATTCCCATGTATCTGTGTCAATCATGGTCTGAAATTTCACATTGGTAGTTCAATAT